GAATGATGAGGGCAATGAATGTACAAATGCGCTTTACACAATTGATGTGTGTATGGATTGTGATAAGAGTTGTATGAGCCCCTAATAAAATGATTATAAAAAAAACAAAAAAACAAAGTAATTGAAACGCCAAAAAAAAAAATGGTGATAGGAAAGTCTTGTGTGTACCCACACTTTCAAGACTCAGAAAGTAAGACAGCTCTGTCCAGTGTCAGCTCTCATTGGCATCACTGTTGTTGTTTGGAAACAATAATTTCTTTCTAGAAATGTTAACAAACGAGTCCAGAAGAATCCCATCACAAGTTTTGTTTGGTTTTTCTCCAGGTACTAGACTTTGATCGAATGTGGGTCAGCTTATGTGCAGGAATAAAATGACATCTAGGGTTATTCTCAGATAACACTCCATGACAAATGCCACTCAACTTTAAAATCTCCATCCAGAAATATCTCTGCTGTCTTCAGTGTTGGGCAATTCCTAAGCAGGAGGTAGCACTTCCTTTTGAACAACAAAGCAATCCTTAGTCTTAAAAATAATCTTCTGTGATATATTTATCTAGTTAGGACAAGAATAAAAGCAACTTCTGACTAGGGAAGTACATATGTTGGGGAAACAAGTAGAGAAGGGGGAGTCATCCAGATCTCACAGTGGTCTTAGGAATAGAAGAATATGAAAATGATTAATAAAATAAATCACAAAGAAATTACTCCATACACTTTATTTAGGTGTGACCATTACCCCAAGAATATGAGGTTAAGAAACCAAAGGCTCCATTCTCATCATACCATCTCCCTATTCTCTTTCCTCAGATCACTTTGATAGATTTTTAATAACTCAGTTTTACCCTGTTGAGAAATGGAAAGCCTACTGCAACCATCGGGGGAGGTGGGGGGACATGTTCAAAGAACATTCATGTTCCAGCAATACTTGAGACAGACCTTGAGAACTGATAGCAACCTTTCAGGACTAACGATCTGTATTTCTGTAAGTGTTTGAAATAAATATTTAAGTAGGACCTAAGAACACTTTGCCCTAGACCTATATGTTCTTTTATCTCCACAGAAGATCCCAGGGAAAATAGACTCTAGAAAGTTACTTTCGAGTTAAAAAATTAAAGAAAAATTAGATATGGGCATCTACGACAGAATTTTTGTTACCCAGGGCTTAAAAAGTGAATGTCTATTTTTATCATTTTAAAAAACAAGTGTTATGCTTTTAGAGATAACCCCAAAAAGACCAAAAGAAGTGTTACCTAATAGTATTGGGAGTAGGGGCACCCTCCTTTGGGAGGTTAAATGTCCTCATCACTCACGGGCAGTTTCTTAGGCATGATGCAGTAGAGAGAACTCTGGGAGTTAAATGAGAGTTCCATACCTTTAGTTGTATAGCATCAGTCCTTTTCCCGACGGCTGTAGACACTCTTCTTTGCACTGCCCATTTTCTCAAGCCACTGACAATGAGTTCCTTCCTTTGCCTTAACTCCTGACAGGATAAACGATCATTGGAGTTGTCCCAGAACCTCCTCAGAGAGCCAGGTCCATGTTACTGTAGGTATAATACTCTTCATTTTCAACACTTTATTGTTAGTACCCGGAATGTACAGCTCGACTCTCTTACCTTTGCTCTTCTGCTTCCTGTAGAACTGACCATTTCTTTTCTTGAGCCTTCATTTAACAGCAGCTCAATGGAGAGTGGAATATAGGGGGAAATTTTTAAAAAAACATTAATTCTGATTAAAGTCTGATCAGGATTATTATTCTCTAATTCCTATTTGTAGAGCCAGTCAGTGCCTTTGTATCTTTGGCCCCCTATTCTCAGTAAGGTGTTTAGATGGCGGAAGTAAGTACTCTTGGGATTTTGCCATCACTCAGATTTTGGTGTCTTTATCCTAGGATTTGAGCAGCTCTTCCTTCACTGGGCAAATCAGGGAAGACCTGAGTTCTCTTGGATTTCTTTGTTCGTTGTAGAAAATACATACTTCTTATTTTCTGTTAGTTCTCACTGTTGGAAATGCTTAAGTTTTTCTTTTTTGTGTGTGTGTCTAGTGAGCCAGACCGAGGAAGGCTAACCCCCTCCCCGGACATCATTGTTTTGTCTGACAATGAGGCTTCCAGTCCCCGTTCCAGCTCCCGAATGGAGGAAAGACTTAAAGCAGCCAACCTAGAGATGTTTAAGGTAAAAACAAATATACTTTTTTTTTTCCATGTGCCTCCTAAAAGAGCCCCAGTTTTATTTTTTGACTATTTACATTTTGGATCTAAATAACGACTCTTTGATGAAAATCTTTGTAGTCATTCTCAACTTAAGGCATGTTTATAAGCTGCCCTGGTAGAGTAGTGGGCTATATGTTGGGCTATTAACCATAGGTATGAGCAGTTTCACTCTGTGGTGGAAAGGTGAGGCTTTCTGCTCCCATAAAGACTTAAAATCTCAGAAACTCAAAGAGGCAGTCTGCTGTGTCTTAATAGTGTTGCAATGAGTCAGAGTGTACTCAGTGGCTGTACATTTTGATTTTGGATAGGAACCCTGGTGGTATTGTGGGTTAAGCATTGGACTGCGGCTGCAAGGTTGAGGTTTTAAACCCACCATGCAGGGAAAGATGAAGGCATCTGTTCCTGTAGATGTTTTTATAGTCTCAGAAAACCTAGGAAGTAGTTTTCTACCCTGTAGGGTTACTCTGAATCAGAGTCAACTCGATGACAGTTTTTTTCCTTTTGTGTTTTTTTAAATAACTAAATGGAGACGATCATTTTTAAAAGTGTATTCAGTGTAATAGCATTGGAAAACCATTATTCAAGTCATATGAAGTAGACTCTTGGTTGGCTAGATCCCTTCTACACTTTATTCTGGATCTGAGAGTGTGGAGGGACCCTTAATTTTTATATATGTGTAGAGGAAACAAGGTTGGTTGTTGGAGAATTAGAAACATTATTTTTAAGCAAGCAACAATATTTCCCTTTTGGTCATTCTTCCAACTCAGTAGCAATCTGATCAGTTACTTTTATGTTGGGGCCCTCCGTTCGTTCTGTAAACATTTGAGTACTACCTACGGAATACCAGGAACCGTACCAGATCCCAGAGATACAAAGATAACAGTCCCTTGAGCACTCTGCTTCTTGAGACGAAGGTGAGAGCTTTAGACAGTAAACGTAGAGATCATCTTTTAGCAAGGGGTTTTTAGTACCTGCAGCCATGTGACCGTCTGTTTTCCCAGGGGAAAGGCATTGAGGAACGGCAGCAGCTCATCAAGCAGCTGAGGGATGAACTGCGATTGGAAGAAGCCCGACTGGTACTGCTGAAGAAACTGAGGCAGAGTCAGCTGCAGAAGGAGAATGTGGTCCAGAAGGTAATGCGCCTTAGGGGTAAGGGACTCAGAAAAGAGAGAGACCTGTATGAAGAGTGGACTACCAGTACGTATATAGAAAAGAGAGCAAGTGGGCTACCCCAGAGAGGTTCAGCTGGGTGGTGGGTGGTTCATTCTTCTCTTCTTTGGGTTTTACTTTCTAGGAGTAGGGGAGTTTTAATCAAGGAAACTTTCATTCCATTTTTTCTTCTTTTTCCTCCTGGTTCCTCCCTATTCTCAATCTATTTCAAGTTTTACCATCAGGGACCTATAAAAATCTAGAAGCACATAAGATTACTAGCCTTTTCCAGTGTCATTTTCTCGTCCCTCTTCTAGACTCCAGTTGTACAGAATGCAGCATCTATTGTTCAGCCATCTCCTGCCCATGTGGGACAGCAGGGCCTATCTAAGCTTCCTTCCCGGCCCGGGGCCCAAGGGGTTGAACCTCAGAATTTGAGAACATTACAGGTATGTGACCCATAATTGGAGGACCAGAATCAGTGTTCCCTATCCATCCTATCTCTGTTTCAGGACTTTTGTAAAGATTATCAAAGAACCTAGCCATCATAGAGGCAATAATACTACCAATATGACTTGTATTAGTGTGTGATTACAAGACACACAATCATTTTTCCATTATAGTTTTTCTTCGTTGGATAAATTTTTCACCTTTTCCATTTGGCTGTTTTTCATATGGTTACATAATTAATACCAGAAAAAGCTAGAGACTTCCTAGCCAATAATAAGGAACGCTGGCGGCACAGTGTTTTTAACTTGTTTGGCTAGTAACTAACAGCTTTGCAGTTTGAACCTACCCGCGACTCCCCAGAAGAAAGATAAGGCAATTCGCTTCCATAAAGATTTAGAGTTTGGAAACACTCACTGTAGGGTAGTTCTACCGTGTTCTATAGGGGTCACTAAGCGTCAGAATCAATTCTATAGCAATGGATTTGAGTAATTAATCAAGGTTTACTTGGTAAGACTTGCCCCTAGGTCCTTAAACAAATATACCACGTCTAATTATTCTTACAGGCTACTCAGTTAATAGTGTGTCTTCAGCATTTTGTGATGTATTATATTGTCTGTGACATGTTCTTTATCTTCCCTTCAGGGTCACAGTGTTATTCGTTCCGCGACCAACACCACCCTTCCACATATGTTGATGTCTCAACGTGTTATTGCACCAAACCCAGCTCAGCTTCAGGGTCAGCGGGGTCCACCTAAACCTGGCCTTGTACGCACCACAACACCCAACATGAATCCTGCCATCAATTACCAACCAGTAAGAGGGTACCCTGATGTGGTAACAGAGACGTCTTTTATTTGACTTCCCTATTGAAAAGGGCCATATGTTTTAAGTTTGGGGCATAGAGAAACTAGGATAAGGGCAATTTGGATGGAGCATGGATTGGGAACAATCCCAAAAGTAGAAGCTCTGAGGAATTATATGAAAATAGTGGTAGGGAAGAGAGATCATACATCAGAGCCATCAGTAAGTTAAAGGCTGCTTAGATAGAGATGGAGGGATCTAGTGAATATATAAAGGATGAATAACATAAAGAAACCTCCCTCATCTTTCCCTCAGAGCAGTTTTAGCTCCCAGCCATCATTGGTTTTTTTCCCATGTGTCAGAGTTCTTTTTTAGTGACTAAGTTGGAAACCTGATTTTCCTGCCCCTGAGTTCTTGGGAAGTTCAGTAATCCAGAGTAGGATCAGAATATGTTGGAACGAAGAAAGCAAAAACTGTCGCTGAACCCATTCTCTTATTTCAGCAGTCAAGCTCGTCTGTTCCTTGTCAGCGAACAACCTCCTCTGCCATCTATATGAACCTTGCCTCCCATATCCAGCCAGGGACTGTGAACAGAGTGTCCTCACCACTTCCTAGCCCCAGCGCCATGACTGATGCTGCCAACTCACAGGCTGCAGCCAAACTGGCTCTTCGCAAACAGCTGGAAAAGACACTCCTTGAGATCCCACCCCCTAAACCTCCTGCTCCCTTGCTTCACTTCCTGCCTAGTGCAGCCAATAGTGAGTTTATCTACATGGTAGGCTTGGAAGAAGTTGTACAGAGTGTCATTGACAGCCAAGGTGAGCCAATCTCTTCAACTCAGTTTCCCTATCCAAGCAAGAGGTTACTGTGTTAGTCTGGGTACTTTACAGAAACAAATCCACAGAAACTCGTATGTATAAGAGAGAGTTTTATATAAAGGTTAAGTGCACATCAAGAAAACAACCCAACCCAGTGCTGCCCAAGCCCACAAGTCCAACATTAACTTATATGTCTGACACCAATGCACAAAGTCTTCCTCCATCTCACAAAAGAGACGAAATGATGCCGACTGCAGGGGGAGGAAAGCCAAATCAGTGAATGTGTAAGTATCTCAGCGCTGGCAGGGGTCTCCACACGGTTGCTCCAGCATCCAGGGCTGCATCGGGGTAGGTCCATGCGGCTTCTCCTCAGGGATGGCTTGCAGGAAGTCAGCCTTGCCAGCTGAAGCAGGGAACTGGCTATGGCAGCTGCACCCCGGTCACAAAGCAGTAGACCCAAGAACTCAAAAGGTGATGCTCACCGAGCCATTTATCCCTCCGCCCTCCAATTAACCCATGTGTTTTATCGGGCAGGTTGGCACAATAAACTATAAATACCTCAGTTACCATGCCTGATTGGCATAGGGCAATATGTGTGTGTGTGTGTGTGTGTATGTATATGTGTGTGTTTATATATATGTTTTTAAAAACCTGTCCTTCACTATTGCCAAACCAGCTCCCATCCCTTACTTAAGAGGCTGGCTGGGAACAGAATAACAAAAGATTTTGGTGTTTCTGTATATTGGGTTTAATGTTTTTATTGTGCATTTTGTATATTTGTGTGTTTTTTGCAACATATTTTCTTCTACATGGTGCATAGCATGACAGGTTCATGCTTTGATGAATAGCCTAATCTTTTTAATGGTTTGTGGCACTGTCCTGCTTTATCCAGACCATTCCGGTCCTTTGAGTGCTTCTAGGTGAGAAAATAGATACTACTCACTGATAAAGATAGCTAAGTGTAATTGGAAATAACCAAATAAAAGTTGTTAAGCAGACTATACTGAGCCAGAGCATAGTCTAGACTGGTAACTGTTATTTAAGCCTGAATTTCTAACCAGCTGGACTTAACAGGAGCACCTGACATTAAAGGGAAGTGTGTGCCTAGAAGGCTCAATAATAGCTGTAAGCAGAGAGTGAATAAAAGTTATTTGCATGAGAGGGCTTTAAAAAGTTCATGGCAAATAATATATTTTCATTTCTTTTTTTAAATCATTTCATTGGGGGCTTGTACAACTCTTATCACCATCCATCCATCCATTGTGTCAAGCAGATTTGTACATTTGTTGCCATCATCATTTTCAAAACATTTTCTTTCTACTTGAGACCTTGGTATCAGCTCATTTTTTCCCTCCCTCCCTCCCTCTTCCACTCTTCCTCCCTCCCTCCCTCTTCCACCCTTCCTCCCTCATGAGCCCTTGATAATTTATAAATTAATATTTTTTGTTTATTTTTAATTTCTTAATTCCAACACGGAAACTCCCTCTGGTTCAAGACATGATTCCAGCCACTTTAGTTCAGCCAATAAAGGACTGAAGGTCTTGGAAATATAACCATGTCATTGTAATTTTTTCTACATTATTCCCTGAAGGAAAATGGGATCCCTTTAAAGTTTTTTTTTTAAGATTAGGAAACAAAAAGAAGTCAGAAGGAGCCAGATCAGAAGTATAAGGTGGATGGAATGCCTAATGATTTTCCATTGAAACTTGGAAAGAACTGCCCTTGTTTGATGAGAAGAATGAGCAGGAGGAGCATTGTTGAAGGGCAGTGGTTCTCAACCTTCCTAATGACACGAAACCCTTTCGTACAGTTCCTCATGTGGTGACCCCCAACCATAACATTATTTCCATTGCAACTTCATAACTGTAGTTTTGCTACTGTTATGAATCGGGCGACCCATGTGAAAGGGGTCGGGACCCACAGGTTGAGAACCACTGTTGTAGTGGAAGAGGGCTCTCTGGGAAGCTTTCTCTGTGTGTTTCTACTAAAGCTTTGACAAGTTTTCTCAAAACAACTCTCAGTAAGCAGGTGTTATCATTCTGTGGCCCTCTAGAGCAGGGGTCCTCAAACTTTTTAAATGGGGCCAGTTCACTGTCCCTCAGACCCATTGGAGGGCTAGACTATAGTTTTTAAAAAACTATGAACAAATTCTTATGCACCATATCTTATTTTGAAGTAAAAAAACATCCAGCGGGCCAGATAAATGTCCTCGAAGGGCCACAGTTTGAAGATGCCTGCTCTAGAAAGTCAAGCAAAGGGCCTGAAGAATCAGAAGAGCTGTTGCCTATGACCTTGAGCTAGACTGGCCACTTCCACCTCCTGAGAGCCATTGCTTTGATTGTGGTTTGTCTTCAGGGTGGTACTGGTAAAGCCATGTTTCATTTCCTGTTAACAATTCCTTGAAATGTTTCAGGATCTTGATCCCACTTATTTAAAACTTATGTGGACACAATTTTAGCGCTCATCAAGCAGAAAGCATGCTCAAATTTCAGTTAGAATGATGTAAACTGACCCAGTTGAGGTGTCTGTAGGGTTGGCTATTGTTCCTACTGTTAATCATTGAGTCTCCCAAATTGATTTGCTGCTTCAGACTTCAGCATCGTTTCATTGCTTCTTAAAATGAGTTATCCAAATGGAGAGCTGAAATTGGGCTCGAGTGGGAAGAGAATGCTTTGAAAACGATGATGGTGGCATAGGTGCGTGGCACAGTGGAAGAATTAAGGATTGTGATAAGAGATCTGAGGGCCCCCAGTGAAAGTATATTTAAAACAAGGTAACCATCTGTAAATTGCTGGTTTCTTTGGGCTGTCCCAAGAAGCTTTTTCTAAAGCTATTTACTTCACCATCTTCTCACCCAATCTTCACCATAAATTTAATGTTCTTCAATTTTAGCAGGATTCATGTTGTTTTTATAAAGGTTCTTTTAAAACTGATGTCATCTTTTTAGGGCCTCCCAACTAGAGCCTGTTCAGACAAGTTAGTATAAGTTATATGGGTTTATTTTGGAGGCAAAAAAAATGAAATCTATGCCTAGTTTCTAAAAACACACATTTTCCATGGACATTTTGAAAGACTCCTTACATAACAGGGACGTGAAAGTAAGGGGCAAATGAGATATGTAGGTGCTAAAAGCTTGCGTTAGGTGGAGTTTTTTGAGTCTGAGTTGACATAGCGTTTTCTTCTTACCGTGAGTGATAGAGTATGGAATCAGAAGTCTGGGAGCCTAGCCCCAGCTCTGTGAGTTGGGAGCTGTTCTCTGGACTTAGCATCATCCCCGGTTACAAATGATGAAAACAATGTGAATTTCAAAAAATGGTAGTATCACCAACAAATGAAATAAAAATATTTTAAAGTTAAGACCAACAACCAAAAGATTTTTACAAACTACTATTTTTATAGTCTCTTTTTTAATGTAGAAAAAGTCTTGATGAAAGATCCATCTGCTGAAGAAAATGGGAGATGGAGAACTGAAATCACTGATGATTCTTTTTGTTGACATCTAGGCAAAGGCTGTGCCTCCCTGCTGCGTGTCGAGCCCTTTATATGTGCCCAGTGCCGCACAGATTTCACCCCCCACTGGAAGCAAGAGAAGAATGGTAAGATTCTGTGTGAGCAGTGTATGACCTCCAATCAGAAAAAGGCTCTAAAGGCTGAACACACCAACCGGCTGAAAAATGCTTTTGTTAAAGCACTACAGCAGGAACAGGTAAGAACTCTGTGACTTCTATCTACTGAGGCTTTCCAAAGGGTAGTTTCTTCTAGTTTAGATGTGTTCTCCCCATAGACCTTTGGACACGCAGACCTGGTTTCCCTTGATATCTCTCCGTATCATTCTCTTTCCCATTTCCACTCAACTGATTATTTCTAAACTGGTAAGGACATAGATAGTGGGAACCCTAGTCCAAGTAGTGAGCTAAACAGAAAGATGGGACTGTGGCTGGCTTCAAAGATTTACAGCTGGGGAAACTGAAAGAAGTCATTCTCTGCCCTCTAGGTTTTTCTGTTAGTCAGAATTGAATTAATGGTGGTCAGTTTTGGTTAAGGATATGGTAACATGTAATAGATGGAGTTGGAGGTAGGGACAAAAATCCTGTAACTCTTAGCTTTCCCCATAGCACTAATGAATATTCTTGATTTCGTTTTTTCCTCAAACAAATGAATTTTGGTGGAATGAATTTAGATTTATATTGTAAATCTCTTGGGGTGAAGTAATTTTCTGTAGTTCCTGCTTGATAAAAAAGGAAAAGGTCGATTATAGAGTGGGCCAGAGAAGCATAGTGGTGATAGAGTATATGAACTTCTCCCACAGTATTTCTAGATTGAGAAGGATAAGTGGACTGAGAAGCTCAGATAATTGACTGCTCTCCCACTTATTTTTCATACCCTGCCTCTCGGGTCCTTTGAGTAGCATCGTGGACTTTCTAGAAAATGGGCAGAGATCAGAACCAGAGCAACTAATCATTAATTAATAAGATGATTCCTAACTCCCAGTTCCCTCCAGCCAACTTCTAAAACCAGCTTCCCTGCAGAGTGGAGTTCCTTAAGCATGGAAGCAAGTCGACTTCTTGTACTTGGAAATCTACACACATGCACCTTTTAACCTTTCCCTGTTCCTTCAACCAGCTGGCAACATTAGAGATCAGACCTTTAGGAAATTAGGTGCTGCCTGCCCAAGTTGACCCAATGTCTCCCAACAGGAAATTGAACAACGATTACAGCAGCAGGCAGCCCTCTCTCCCACTACGGCTCCAGCCGTGTCCAGTGTCAGTAAACAAGAGACTATCATGAGACATCATACACTTCGGCAGGTGAGGAACTTTCTCCCTGACTTGATTTCTCTCCTGGGTTTGTAAATCATTTCTCCTAGCCTGTCCTTTCTTCCACAGGGAATCATTCAATCCTTCCACTTTTCTCCCACAGCCTGGCCTCTCACCTTACCTTCCATCCACTGTCTCCTCTTCATTACAGGCTCCACAGCCCCAGAGCAGCCTCCAGCGTGGCATACCCACATCTGCCCGCTCCATGCTTTCCAACTTTGCACAGGCACCCCAGCTGTCTGTACCAGGTGGCCTCCTTGGCATGCCAGGTAAGAAAGGTTGATGTGAGTGTTTTTCTCAGGACTCTACTGTTGAATACACAGTATTGGCAGTCCCTTTAGGTGATTTGTTCTTTGCTTTGTGCTTACTTTAAATACGTGTCTCTACACTTAGTATTCAGCAAATCTTTGTTAAATTCTTACTACATAGCAGGCACAGTGCTAGGTACTAGGATTTGGGTGGTGAAAGTGGCACATCTCTTGCCATTATAAATTTAAAGACTAGTGTGTCTTCTGTGAGTGTGTGATTATCGGTCTTTTAAATAAATCCAGGATGCTTCTCCAGAGTAAAAAAACCCCAATCAGTGCCATAGAGTTGATTACTACACAGTGATCCTATAAGTTAGACTCGAGCTGCCTTTGTGAATTTCCTAGACTATAAATCTCCCAAGAGTAGAACGCCTCATTTTTTCCCATAGAGTGGGTGGCTGGTAATGTTGAACTGCTGACCTTTTGGTTGGTATACCACTAACGTATAACCACCATGCTACCAGTGCCCTGCTATCAGTAGCCCCAACAATTCCTTCTTTTTGTCTTGATTCTTTTTCTTTTGCTGCTATTTTGCCTGACATTAAGTTCATGTCCATTATTTTTAGTAGAAATTAACATTTCAGGACAATTGTCTTTCTCCAAAGGTTGGGAGCCAGAGGGGAAATGTCTGCTGGAATAAAGCTCGTCAAGTCTGGACAAGCACAAGCAACTTCTAACGTTACCTCTGACTCTGCAGCCCGGGTAGTGCCATTTGCTCTTTTAACACCTGCCTTCCACTTTTGTCTCCTGGGTCTAGGTGTCAACATTGCATACTTGAACACTGGCATCGGAGGACACAAAGCCCCCAGTTTGGCAGACCGACAGCGGGAGTACCTTTTAGACATGATCCCTCCCCGGTCTATATCGCAGTCCATCAGTGGACAGAAATAACGCCTGTCCATTTGTCCTGCTCCAATCTTGAATCCTTGACCCTTTTCCTCCTATTGCCCCTAACTTCCGTCGCATGCAGTGCCTGTACTGGTGCCTACCATACACGGAAAACAAAACAGAAAAACAGAAGACAAAAAGTAGAAATCAACAAGAAAAACATGCGTGCCCTGCCCCGCACCTCCCCTTTATTTCACACTGCTGCCATCTGTTCTTCTGCCACTCTTTGTCTTTTCTCTTGGGTTTCCTTTAACGCTGAGGTGGCTTATCTATCACCTCTGATAGAGGTCAGAGAGAGGTCCTGGGGAGAATCTATACCCTCTGACGTGTGTTTCTAAAGCTTGTTTTTATGCTATAACTATCATTTTTAATGATGTGTGTCCTCCCTTTGTTCCGTGAACGGTTAAACCTTTTTTTTTTTTTCCCCCAAGTGTTTCTTTTAAATACCAATGACATTCAGTTAAATGATAGTAGCATTGCAGTAAGGGTTCCCATTTGCCAAGTAGGACATGTCTGAGACTATTTGAGGCAAAAATGTTTAATGCACTTACCCAGGGTGAGGGGAAGCTGGTGGCATCAAATGAGAAGGAACAGCATCCCGGCTGTGGGTGTTCTGGCCTGGAGAGTCTCAAGCCTGTGTTAGCACTGAAGCCGGGCCCTTACCATAGAAAGAGGGGGAAGAGCCTGGAGGGCAGAGCTTTATAACCCAGCCACCCTGGAACTCACCGGGTAGCAGAGGGTGTGTGTGATGTGATGGCAGAATTTTGAGCCAGAGAGGCCTGAGAGCAGGTTCTGGCCTTGATGCTGGGGGAATAAGATTTGTCTCCTAACCCCAAGTCTAATCCAAGCCAACTAGCCCAAATCCATTTCATCTTTCTTTCTTTTGTAAAATTCCCTCCCATTACTCTTTTGTAAATCCTAGTCTGTCCCTTCTAATCACAGCCCCTTCTGTATAAAAAACTGGCTACAGCCATATACCCCCAGGCAATTTGCTGGGCAGCCTAGAAGTTGGAATGGGCATTGAAAACTACAAAAAGAGGGAACGCAGACTTGGAAGAAGGGAGGAAGAGACTGTTTCTCTCCTAGCAGTGGCTTCTCACACTTGTCTGTCCCCTTCTCTGAGGGAGTGAGGCCACCTCCAAGGGGAGCCCTGCCTTTACTCTGCTTCAACTAACTGCAAAACCAGCTGCTCAAAGCCAAACAGCGCATATCAAAACCAACTTTAGACCTCTGCTATGAAAGTAGTTTGGGGGTTTGTGTTTTTCCCAAAATTCCATTAATTTTTTTTCCCTTAAATGCTACTAATGTAGAGAATGAATTGAATTGTGCAATGTTGCTGTCTTGGGGATTAGGGAGATTAGCATCCCATTTGCCCCCACTGAGGGTGGGGTGGGGAGGGGAGGCCCTTTGTGAGGTAGGGAAGCCCCTGCAGGGGAGGATTTCAGCTCTCTACTGTAGTAGTGCGCCTCCCCAGCTGGAAAAGCTGCGAGTGTGCTGAGGCGAGGCCCTTAGCAGAGAGGTGAAAGGAGGAGTTTAATATTTTGCCCTTGAAAGCCACCTGGGGAAGTTCCTCCGCTTTTATTTTTTAAAGTTAAATAATTCTTTTAAAGTAAGGCACTTTTAAAATTAACACACACAAGCTGCACATCTTTTTCCTTAAAGCTTGGAGGTGGAGTGGGAGAAGGAACTGGAATCAGGCTTAGTTCTCCCTTCCTTACTGCCCCCCACTGGCCTCTACTCCCAACACCCCAGTACCACTGTGGGTGATAATACAGGCCCTACGGGCCTTCCTGGCTTTTTTTCTTCCCTTCCCCAAATTCATTGAGCACTTAATAAAGGAGCCAGAGGTGCAGCCTGTGTCTGGGCTCCCCCCAGTGGTGAAATGATCTGGAAGCTAGGCGCTAGTAACAGGTAGTGATGGGGTCGTTTTCGAGTATTTTTCTGGGGAATGTGGTAGCCCTGGCTATAAGTGGTGGGGGGAGGGGGGTAATGGAACTGGGTCTGGGATTATTTTAAAATTATATATATATATATAAAGATATATTCTTAAATCTTTTTTCCCCTCTGTGCTTTGAAAGCACTGGATGAATTGATGAATTGTTTTGGTTTTGCTTTTCTCTCTTCCACAAAATTGGAAGCTAATTTTTTAATGTTTTCCCTACAAGTCATCTTGCCTTGTGGCATTTCTGTCTAGCCTCCCCTGCACCTCCCTCTCATAATGAAGTGCCATTTCTGTTACACCCCTCCTTACCCCCAGCTCAGAGGTGCTCAGAGGTATGAGCTGCCCAAATTTGTGTCAGTTGAGATTAAAAGTGAGGAACAGAGAATGTGCAATACCGTCTGGCTGGGTCCTTTCCCTGGAAGCCAAGCCACATTTGAATGGGGTTTGGAAGTAAGCTGTCCAGATGAGCTGAGCGTGATGGGGAAGGAGACCTGCTGAGGTGCTGAGGGAAGAGAGTGGGGATTTCCTCCCTTTTTCCCCTCAGGGTCAATTCCATAGAAGCTGCTGACTGACTAGTAGAGCTCCAGGACCTTTTGCTCAGTTGCTGAGGTTTGATCTCCCCACCCCACCCCCCTTCTCCCCATTCATACCTTGCCTAGGGTTTGTGATGGGGCCGAGGGCTCCCTAATCATGGTCAAGTATTAGCCTTCCACCTCCTCCCTCCCCTTATTCCTCTGTCTCCCACATTTCTCTCTCCATCACTGATTGCCTTGTGTCCCTGACAGTCTGTTTTTACTGTCCATCACCTGGCCTTGGGACTTGTAGACACGAAGACTCATGCTTTAGGGATAGGAGGAAAGGCCCTCTGTTCCCAGAGGCATCTTTACCCCGAACTCTGAAGCTCAGGGGAATAGGATGAGGATCCCACCAGTTCTTTCCGGCCTCTTCCTTCCCTACAGACAACACCAGAAGCAGTGGTTTGGGGCAGTGTTCCCTCCCTAGAGGCCTGAAGTGGGTGGATTCATTGGCAGATTTGGGTGAAGCTGGGGGACAGAGGCCCTTATTTTTCAGTTCATTTTGTCATTTGACCACAGCATTCAGACCCCTCCATCCCTGGAATAAGTATTTTTCTCCACACCTTTGGTATGGTAGAGTTTCGGGTTTTTTGTTGTTTTCTTAAAGACACAGAGATAAATGTTTTACTGCTTTGGTTACCTTTCCTTTCCCCCTTTAAAAGGAATTAGCTATAGAACTGCTTTGTAAAGATGCTTCTTGATATTTTTACTTTTGTTCCTTCACCCCCACCACTTCCCTTTCTCCCCACTCCCTCCAGAAGGCATAAATAACCCTTCTCTCTACCCTACCCCATTCCAGTCCCAGGCTCCCCTGCCCTTCCAACAAGACCTTCATTAGCTTATGATATTTGCTGCCGAGATGTTATAACAAGGACTCATTCATGTATATAAGCTATTTCTTGATCCATTTAAAAGGAATTGTACATTGTGTAGAAAAAAAAAAACTGAAAAAGAGAGAAAAAAAAAAAGCCCTAGCCATGGATATTGTGAAACTGTGTTATGTCATTTTGTAATGTGCCCGTTTGTGTATGATCCGTGCAAAAGGGTTTCTGGGGAAGGGGGCGGGGGTAGGGAGGCAGGGCTGTGGAGGGTGGGTAGGGGAGTGGGCTGGGCCCAGCACACTTGAGACTGGCAGCAGCTCCAATCCTACCCCTCCTTAGAGATGCCACCTCCCCCACCACCCACCCCTAATTTGTGCCTTGCCTCCCCACCCTGGAGTCCTCCTCCGGGTCACCAGCACTGCCTTGGCAGAGCCCACTCCCTACCCTGACCTGCCCACCCTCCCTACCCCCCAGCATTAAGGTGATCCTGTGGGGAAGTGCTGGGGGTTGGGAGGTAGCCAAGGAATGGGGCAGTTCCCGGGGGCATCGAAACCAAGTATTATTATAAATTGTAATTGTATTTGCACTGTTCTTTTTTTTTTCCTCCCTCTGATTGCATCAGCATATATACAATATACCTATATAACAAAATTCAGTGTCAAACTTTCTTATGCAAGGGATTTTCCCCACTCATACCCCCCCCCCCAAAAATAATAATGCGATGGGGCTTGTGAGGGTGGATGTCAGGGGATGTTAGAACAGATTTTAGTAAGTCGTCCTGAGGAGGTCTGACCTTGTGAGGCCTGTACGTCTGCATAGCTTCAGACTGCGTGCATGGAGGTAGGCAGGGCTACTGGGAGAGCTAGGGCTCTGGGTCCAGGACTGGGCACCATACACCAATGAAAAGGGGGTTAGTGACCCAGTCTGCAGGTCGCCAACTTAACAACTTGGGTGACAAAGTGATTTTGAGGTCTGCTTCCCTATCAATGAATTAAGAGGAGTTTCAGTATGGCCACCAGATTCAAAATTCTGTTTCCTTTGCTTAATAAAAGAAACTTGAGGAAAGTGTTGGGCCAAAAACCCAGGGAGGAAGCCACAGTGACTTGTGTTGAGAGATTGTGTGTGATGATGCCCTTGGAGAACTGCCACCCTTTGCCCTCATCCCTGGGTTTGAGAAAGCAGCAAAGGGATGTCTTGGGACATCGTACACTAGTGATATCTTTGCTTCTAGTGGATAAGGGGCTAGTCCCCAAGTCCCATCTCACGACGACTCACAGAGCCCTTACACACGTCTGACCAGTGCCTGCCCCGAGTTGGTAGTCTACTGACACCTTTTTGTGGGCTGCAGGATGCAGAGCTCCCCCATCTTCTTGGCAAGGAATTAAGAGCTCAGAGTGTACCACCTGACTCCTTCCCCCTCTTATTTGAACTCCCTATGGGCAGCTGCTCCCCGGTCTGTCCCATTCCCCATAGCCCGGGCTGAGTTCTCCCACTGCCTCTGGTTGTTGGCAGGGAAGCCTAGAGAGGGTAAGAGCGATGGGTGGGTCCTTGTGAAGGTGGAAAGATGGGTTGTCGGGTGGTGTGGAGCAGGGAGGTGAGAGCCTTCCCTGAATGGGGTGGGCGGGAGGGGAACAAGACCCTTTTGCACAACTCTTTTAAGTTTCCTTCCTTTTTTTTTTTTTTAAACTCATTCTAATTTTCTGCATTGTGTTTGGGAAATTAAATGAAAAAAACTAAGACCAATAGAAACTGGTTTTCAAAAAGGCAAATACACTCCCGTCTGTTTCAGATGCTGCTGAGCACTTCAGCAGTGACAGATTCAAATAATAAGCTAATTTTTGGAGAAAGGATTAAAAGAAAAAAACTTTGTAATATTTATCACTTGCAAGCTATGTTTAATAAAGAAAGGAATGGTTTCTAAACTTCCCTGTGATGTGCTTTAGTGGGGGTGGGGGTGGGGGTGCGGGTGGCAATCGGCTGGAAGAATTTTTTGGGTAAGGGAGAGATGAGCTATGGCTATAGAGCCCCTGAGGCCCAGCCATGGGGGCCTGGTTTGAACCCTTTTCTCAGAGGGCATGAGTCCTTCAATCTTTTACGTACTTTTGTTCCACGAGACCTCTACATGCAGCCAGTGTTTTGGAAGCCACCAACCCTTGATGACAAGCTCTGGGAAGGGAGCGTCCTGTAAAGCAGAAGGAGGGGCCTCCTGTCCTAGGGTGCGGTGCCCTGGAGCAGTTCTTGGCTTGTCTCAGCACACTGCTCTTGTAACGGAGTCTCTTGTGGCACATCAGGCATGGGTGCATGTTGGCCTTTCTCAGACTGCAGAGTCGAGTTGCTCAGCAGTCAGTGTGATAGCCTCCAGAAAGACCCAGTTACTCTGCTCCCCCGTTTGATCACCCCACTCTCCCCCAAGCATTAACCGCTCTTAGGTATTTTTCCATTTGGGTTTTTTTATGTTCCACAAAGCACTTAGACTAGGTCCACCCAGAGGACAGGTGCCATTCCTTTAGACTAAAGTTGGGGGCTTTTCTTAGTCCCCTGCCACATTTCAGTTAAAACTGCTGCTGTCCCTCTTGCAGAGAAGGGGGTCCTTGGGAGGGCAGGCCTAGCCTTGCTGGGGTCTTGTCGTTGGTACTAGCATTACTCTACAGGAGCACAGAGGAGGGGATGGTTGGGATCCCCTCTTCCCTGGATTTTTTCCTTTGCCAAGACTACCCCCACTTTTTGGCACAATTCAGGTAGCCCTGAAAGGGCTTTGACTTGAGAGTATTAGAGTTGGACGAGGAGGGACTATAGAGTCCCTAGTGCCACCAGCTGGCAGGGGAGGTAATAAAGAGGTAGGCATAGATTGGGGAGGGGAGGCATTCTACAGCCTCTGCTCATTCTGTAAGGAATTTGAGGGCACTTAGAGTCCTAACTCAAGCTAACAATCTGCTATCAAAAATGAAAAACGAGGCAGGTGCCCCTTAAGCGGGACAGTGCTTTGGGTCTGGGAAGGAGGAGTAGGTGGGCATTTGGTGGTTCAGGGCAGCTCACCTGAGCTCAGATGTTTGGAACTCTTACAGGGTCAGGGCAAGGGGAGTAAGAAAGGCGGCCCAGGCGCCTGCCCGCACCACCTGACCATAAGCCAGGTGTGGTACCTGACAGTGGCCTTCTGCTTGTGACACGGGCCATGGCAGAACCCCTTGCCCTGCCTCCCTGCTTTGGTGGGGGCCCCTTAAAAGCTACTCATCTTTGGGTCCGTTCATATTTGGATCAAGGAGGTGGGAAAATGGGTAAGGCAGGAGCAACTGGTTTGGGGGTAGCTCCCAGTTGACCTTCATTTCACTTGAGGTTATTTGGTATATTGGGGGGAGGTACATTTTTCCCATTTGTTAGGGGGCGGGGTTTGGACAGAGAAATCTCACCATCTATCCCCTTATAGCCGGGCCTGCCCCTCCCCAGAAAGAGGCTAAGAGACCTTTGGTTCTTCCCTGACTCCTAGGTGACAGGGATAGGTGAGGTAGATTTTTTGGTGAGTCCGGAGTTAGTGTCATCTGGGAAGGGACCAACTTGGGGGTCCCTAGGCTAAGGGCTGCTGTTCCATGGTCTCCTGGGGACAAGAAGATGGTCAGGCACAGCCCCACGGCCCAAAGCCCTCCCAGTGTCTGTCTCTCCTGAATCCCTCTCACCTGGATGATGAGCTCCGTCTTCTGCCTTGGCTTGCCCCCACTTGGATCCTGGCTTTGATGACCCCCAGCTCTGTCCGCAGCAGTCTGAGGCACGGCCCAGCGTTGCTGGGACCCCTATCTGCAGGCAGGGATGCCACATAACAAGGGTCAGCCCCATGACTTGTCTGTGGCTCCCTTGGCTCAGCCTCTGCTAGCTGCTCAGCCCGGTCACCCAGCCCCTGCCTCTGCTTCTCCCAGCCCTCTTCTTTACTCATGTAACCCGCCAGGCACCCTCCAACCGGCAGCAGTACACGGATCTGAAGAGAACTGCCTCCCCTCTAGATGTGCCTCCTGGCTCGTAAAACCAGAGGGTGGACAGGACTTAAGTGGTGGATGCGAGTGCCAGTGCCTTCCTGCTCTCCAGGCCTGGGCCACACTGGTACGTGCTGTGTCCCTGGCAGTTGGCAGTAGGGCCCAGTCCCTTACCTGTGTCTCCGGCCCAGAAAGAGGCAGAAGAGGCAAACGATGAGGGCAGCCAGGCCCACATGGATGCCCGCTGCAACCCCAGGCAACAGGCTGCCCATGTCCTGGCTGCAAGAGCACCCACCCTTGGACTCTGTGGACACATTGCCACCCATCAGACCAGAAGGGTTGGCAAAACCCAGCCCCTCCTGCAGGACCCCACTCACCAGGGGTGGCTTGGGCCACATCCCGCAGAGACAAAGTTGGTGCTACTGTCCCCATCCCCGTGACCATTGAACACCTGGAGCTTCATCTCATACAAGGCGGCAGGCTCTACGGGCAGCTGGGGAGCAAGAAGGACACGGGCGGGACCATCAGGGCCTGGGGTCAGTGCCCTCCTGGAAGGGATTCCTGGGTAGGAGGGTGTGCACTGGAATGTTTGGGGCCTCACCTAGGTCTGTGTAAAGGAAGGAGCTGACTGCTGGCCAGGAGCATAGGTCCCTCAAAGTGGGCAGCCGGTAGCTTGCGGTGATAGAGTTTGAAACCCTGGATGGGATGGCAGCTCCCAGGAAGCCCACACTGAGGACGCGTTGAGCACTTGAATGGAGAAGCCCAAGGCAGCGGGTGCTGCAGAGGATAAGGGGTGAGTTGGTTGGTGGCCCCTGCCCCCCTGTGGCCAGGAGCTGGGAGAGAGAGAAAAGCTGTCACTCACCGCTGCCCAGGGTGGAGGCATAGATGGGGGCTGAGTCCTGGCTGGCCCCCTCTGCAGAGTACGCCTTCAAGTGGATGGAGTAGGTGGTGGGGGGCACCGGGTTGGAAAAGACATGCTAAAGGTGCCTTTGCTCAGCCTCCTGGAACTCCTGGCCGGCTGGCTCTGGGGAGCAGGGTGGCTTGGCATCGCCGTCTGCCGCCACTGACTCTCTCACCCCCAAAGTGGCCAAGGCACCAGCTGGGCAGAAGAGCAGGCAGGCAGTGAGCCACCCCACCCCCGACCCTAAGCAGAGACCCGTTCTCAACACCCCACCCACCTCCCACAGGCCGAAGGTGCAGCACATAGCCGATAATGACCCCGAGGGAGGAAGGTGGCTCCCAGGACACTGGAATGGCAGAGCCATGGCCTGCAGGCCCATCAGGGCATGGCCGGGCTCTGGGGGCCCCATCACAGCCAGGCGGGCGCTGGCCTGGTTGGAGCCGGCCCAGTTCTCCAGCGCACACTGGTCGATGGCCTCGTCGTCGGCAGAGAGCTCGGTCAGCATCAGGGTGCTGGGGAAAGGCGATGGGGGCTGCAGAAGACCCCTGCCCCCCAGGCTCCCCCAGGGGAGGAGACTGGTGGTCCCTGGGACCATCCCACCGGAGTCAGGGCCCTACCATTGGGAGGCTGGCCAACAGAGCCTCTTGTCGGTGGGGGCTGGTGTGTGAGTGACGGTTCTGGGCAGAAGGTGTCCTGGACCGCTGAGGGCTGACTGCCGTGGGTGGAGGGGGCAGCGACATAGATATCTGTTCTTAGGCGTCTGCTGGACTTTACCCCCGGGACTCTGCACCTTCCCGTTCTTCAGCCAGACCAGACGTGGCTCGGGGACACTGTTAGACAGGGTTCTCTAGAGAGATGAAACCAAATTGCTGATAATTTAATGTATTTATTTATAAAGATAATTAGATACATAACGAGAAATGAACCGTTAAATCATATACAGATAAATATACAAGAAATAAACAGTTAAATAAGAAAGCACTACAAATGGCTCAGTGCAACTCACGTCTGTGGGAGAAAGTTGAGAGACTAGCAGTCCTTCTAGTCTAGTCTGATGCCAGAGCTTCCTCTATTTGTAGAGAGAGCTAGGCTATGTCAGCACAGCAGCCAATCACAAGGCAGGTCACCAACCGCCAGTCCCCAGCTCCAGAGATGTCTTAAAGGGACCTCAACTTACAGCGACACAGTCCACAGGCTAGTGTCCCACAGGTAGTGTAGCCTTTAAATTGAGGCACAGAACAAGCAAAGCAGATGCACACTGGTCCGATGATCACAGCGAGAGACAAGAAAGGCGAGGCTCACCAAGCCATTTATCTCTCTGCCCTTCAGTTAATCCCACTTGTGTTTATCAGCCAGGCTGGCACAATAAACTATCTCAGACACCATGGGCCACGCAGGTGAAAATGGCTGCGCCCGGAGGCCTGGGCTGGGACTGTGGCCACTGGACAAATTCGGGAGGGGCTGGGGGACAATGGTGGAGTGGAGGGCCCCTTTGAGGGCGGGCTTTTCTGCCTCTGTGCGCCCTGACCAGGCTCCGGACAATGGAGTGGGGCATCCCAGGGGTCCCGCTGTCTCGATGGGTGCAGCAGTTTCATGCTCACACTACCAGGGGGACGCTCAAAGTGGGCTTCACGCCAAGGGAGAGAGCCCCCGCACCCTCCCTGGGGCCACGTCCCCTTCCTGGGCTCACCCTGCACCAGCAGGACGCCCTGCACAGTGCGCCGCACACGGGTGCCGGACCGGTTGGCGGCGCAGACGTAGACTCATAAGGTTCCCAGTGCCCAGGTCTTGGATGCCCTCCAAGTCGATGGAGCAGCCATCTGCCGGGAGAGGGGAGCGTGCAGGGTCAGGCCGGGCGGGGCTGTAGCGAGGGCGGGGGTGGGGGCGGCTGAGCACGCAGGTGGCTCCAGGAGACCGAGGCCGCGGGTGGCCGGTGACAATGCATTCCAACACTGGTCTGATGCACCGCACCGTGAGGGTCAGGTTCTGAGGCCCTGATAGGATCTCCTGCAGCAGTCGCGGGGATCCCACTGGCGGTGGAAACAGGCGGGGGAAGATGGCTCAGGAAATTGGACAGCCACACTCGGTGGGCACGCACTCCCAGCCCAGCACCCCCTTGGCGCCCACCACGGAGCCTCTGAACTGCACTGGGCAACTTCGAGATCATGCGGTTTACTGATAAAAGGATCCGCCCAAGGTCCCATGGCGGCGGGCAAGTGGGTCTCAGGGGAGAGCTTTGCGTGAGCTCCAAGTGTACGGCGGGTGGGCTCATTCCACTCCCTGGAAGCAGACGAAACAAGAGCGGGCCGTGGAGCAGGTGCCCCAACTGTTTGCGAGAATATAGACTGGCTCGTAAAGACTGCATCTTCATTTTACACTCTTCCCTGCCACCTCCACTCTGCCGTGCAAGAAACACACTCACTGCCATGGGGTGGATCCTGACATCCATGGGCATGGGAGACTGGGGGTGTCAGGCTGTCAGGCACTAGCCCCACACTTGGGAGCACCTCCATCGGAAAAAAACCCTGCCTTCGAGAAGATTCCAACTCCAACGACCCTACAGAACAGGGTTGAGCTGCCCGTGTGCGTTTCTAAGATGGCAAACCTTTACAGGAGTAGAAAGCCTCATCTACTGCTGGTCTTGCCATTAGCAACCCAACCCATAGTAACGACTGTGACACCATGCCTCCTCCCAGAGGGCAAACAGACCCTTATCCCCCCTTCCCCCCACCCCCTTATTTCCCTTTTAAGAGCCCTAATGGGGCTGTGGGTTAGGCATCAGGCTGCAAAATGCAAGGTGGGTAGTTCAGACCCATGGCTGTCTGCTCCAGTAAATACTTCCATTCTCAGAAGCCCTCCGAGGCAGGACCGGCTGCGTGGCAGGGGACTGCGGTGTCTTCAGTACCTTTATCTTATCTCCCTGTTTTTGGCTTTGCCTCCTGCCCTCTATGAGATTCTGTAATGTACCTTTAATGCTTTGTACATAAGGGGAAATATCCAAATGTGTTTTGTTTCTCCACGTTTCTCTTCTTCCTCAACGCTTCTGACAATGATGTTTCCATCTTCCTAAGCCTCCCCGAAGGCACCTGGGCCCTTGGATTCACCACACAGCCGCTGTGAAAGCCTCAAAAGACTCCACTCATGTTCCTTTCAAATGCTCTTATTGTTTGGGGAACAAAACTAAGTCTGAGGGGCAAGATCAGGATTGTCGGCAGAGTGCAGTAAGAATTCTCAATGAAATTCTCCTAGGGCAGCCCTTGTTACCCTCAAAAACCAAGCAAGGGCATTGTCGTCAATGCAACTTTCTTAGCCTTTTTTCCCACAGTTTTCCTTCCTAATAAGCCCCTGTGATTGTCTTGTGTCCTTTGAGAAAAACCTGTCACGATTACCCCTTTGGAATAAACTTTGAAAAAACAACCACTATCATCTTCTACACTGACACCTCGGCCCTGAACTTCACTGGCCCAGCAGCTCCCCACAGAAGCCACTGCTAACATCTCACCTTGCTCTGGGTCGTACAAGCGAGCCTACGATTCATCCGTGTCTATCATTTGTACCATGAACTGTCTTCATTAGCTTCAGTCATTTGCTTATGGAAAGCTAGGTGGTCTTTGCCCAACATTTTAAAATTACATATACTTTTTTTAGGCCCTCTAATGAGACAAAGGTAAGTGTATGCCTGAGAGAATGTGTCCGCAGCCGTCCACTGACCCTATGACATGTTTAAGCACATGTGCACGGTCAACTGGAACCCTAATGGCAATACCTGTTGACATGCGTGTGTGGGTGATTAAAAGAAAAACCAACATTGTGGTTTCGGTGAACATTTACACAGTAAACTAAGTTCCCACTTAACACTTTGTATGGGTCGGAATCAGCTCCCTGGCAGTAAGTGGGTGTACGTACACATTGCTTGGTGCCCTTGGCTGCATTCTTCACAGCGTGTCCACACTCTCCTTAGATCTGCTCTGGCTCAACCCTCTCTTAGATGGCATTTACGGAGAACGCAGAGAAAATGCTCTCTCTCAAGTGAAAGTTACTTCAGGTCTGTTTACTCTGTTTACACTCTTACACCTTTGTTTGTACCTGGACCACCAGAAGCTCATCTGGTCTGTTCACACAGTCACAGCTCCCAGCCATGGAGGGCTCACTGTGGGCCAGGGCACAGCTCAGGGGGCCTCTGGCAAGCGGCAGCACCGACCATGGAGACTATTTCTGCCTGGTTACGTGTGTGTGCACCCCCTCAAAGTTGGCCCACCAGACAACCAAGGATCTGAGAGGCTCAGTAACTTGCTCAAAGTCATACAGATTAGCATAGCGGGGACTCAAACTGGGATCTTGGTAGCATCCCTCTCCCCTCACAAATTCCAGGGAATTCTGTGTCCCTAGAATCTGCCCAGGACATGTGCCCAGGTGAGTGCTTTTAGAGCAAAAGGTTCCTCGGCCCCTGGCCCCTGGCCCCTGCGCCTGGGGAAGAGACTACGCTGACTCCCGCTCCTTTCCTGACCATTTTGTTTCTCCCTGTCAGCCCGCTGTCTCACTACCAGGCTGGGCTAGTTCCCATATCCGCCCTCCTCTACCTATTCCAGGATAGCGGAGCCGAGGCCTGCCCCTAACGAGTTCGCATCCCCGAGGCCCCTATCTTCTGCCCCAGATGGTGGGTGGGAACGGGAAGGAGGAGGTGGGGGAATCCCAGCCCGGTGTCCCCCTGCTCTCAGGGAGGTGCCCCATCTCTCTCTCTTTTCCCCCATCTCGTTTACTTTGAGCTTCTAAGTCAGTTCTAGGTTACAGACCCAAGAGCTCAACTCCCACTTTACTTTCCCAATGGAAAAGGTCTCTCCGCCTGTATCTAGAGAGAGAGTCTGGGAATTTGGGGTCCAAGGTCTTTGGAGAGTCTACGCGGAGATGGCTGGGTGGTTGTCCATCGTTGACCTACTTGTCGATGCCCTGCAGCCCCCTAGTGGAGGATGCAGGCATGGCGGCCTCTCGCAGGAACCTCTGGCACCACCTCCCCTTTAGTTGACAAATGCGGGGCTCTGAGACTCTACTGCGGCCCCCCACTTTGGACACGGCACGCTAAGTCAAGTCGGCCTGTATTTGAGGGTCATCTTGGATTTTCCAAAGCTATTGCCATCCTCACCCACAGGAGAAATCATCCAAGTACACACACACACACACACATCCTCACCCACAGGAGAAATCACCCAAGTGCACACACACACACGTCCTTGTACACACACACACATCTAGGCTGACTGAGCCCCGCAGCTAACCCACGCACCGGCTCCCTGTGCCCTCGGATCAAGCCCGCGCTCCGCAGCTTCAAGGGCCTTGCCTGCCTCCCAGCATCAGCCCTTTCCGGCGTGGCTTTCCCGCCACAGAGTGTGGTTCGGGGTCGTTTCAGCCGCAGGGCCCGACCTTCTGCGCAAACGGCCGCGACTCATCCTCTGCCCAGGCGCACGCCGTGGCCCCAGCCTGGAAGGTCCCCTCCCCCGCTTCCGGACCTGGGCCCCGCTTTCTCTTCTCGCCCCTCAACACCCACTGCCTGCTCCTGGAAGCCAGGATCACCCCCAGTCCCAAGCCCCCCGCTGGGCTGGAGGGCCCTCCCCCGGCTTCCCGCAACACCTCCTGCTGCCCCCGAGTCAGTCCTAAGCTCTGCGAAGCGGGCCAGACCGCCAGTCCGGCCGTCAGACCGCCGGGGTCGCTACGGAGCCGCGGCACCCCCAGCCCACTAGCCATGCCCCCGGGCCGCGCCCCCCCTTCCCGTTTCCCCGCCCGCGCTCACCGCCCCGCGCCAGCCGCGCGCCCCGACTGTGCCGGGTGCGGGCCACACTGCGTGCCTCGCAGCAGTAGGTGCCCACGTCCGCCTGGCTCGCGCCGGTGATGTGGAGGATGCCGCCAGGGAGCAGAGTGACCCTGAGGGGACAAAGGTCAGGGCTCCGGTCGCAGACCCCAGGCCCCCAGCCGGTCGCCCCCTCGGTGTCGCAGCGGGTGCTCACCGGTGGTGGGCGGTGCTCAGGGCCGTGGCGTGACGCTCCCGGGAAATGAAGGGCTCTGGCACGCCCCGGTTCAGGCCCTGGAAGCGGGCCACCCCACCGCGCTCCACCTCCACCGACTCCGGGTGCTGGTGAAAGCGCGACAGCCGAGGGGGCGAGCGCACGGGAGCACCACCGAGCAGCCTGGGCTGGGCCCCTGCAGCCCACCGCAGCCTCACCCCTGCAGCCCACCCCAACCCACCGCAGCCTCCAGAGCGCAGAGAGCACTCCTCCAGGACACAGGGCAACTTTGGCTTACCAGTTGCCCGTGGTTACACGTTGGGCCGCCACCTGCAAGGTGCCCCACCGTAAACAAATTAAACCCACTGCCATCCAGTCAATGCTGACTCGTAGTGATCACCTGTGAGGCGAACTTTACGGGAGTAGAAAACCCAGGGTCTCTCCCAAGGAGCTCCTGGTGGGGTCAAAGGTAATCAGTGCACCACCAGGGGGCCTTTGCAGAAAAAGGTCTCCCTAGTGTCTCATAGAACACCAAGGTCAGCAGTTCGAAACTACCAGCAGCTCGGCGGGAGGAACCAAAAAAAAAAAAAAAAAAAGGCGGGGGTAAGATTTCTACACCCATAAAGAATTACAGTCTCAGAAAGTTCCAGGGGTCGCCACGGTCGCTATGAG